GGGACAGAAACCTGTGATTGGTATTGTACTGCAGCAGAGAAAATGTAGGTCTCCTACCCTGCCAGATGGGGCTGTGCTTTGAGGCAGACCTGTGTAAACCTCAGGAGTCCGAAGACAGAAATGCAAATCCTTTGACGGATAAAACAGCAACCTTCTATGCATTTTTCTGTGCAGTTAGCTGCTTGCCTAAAGTTCAGCTTTAGTGAATATTTTTAGTGAGCCATTAGGAGAAGGCTGACATCTCCCTGCATTCTGTATGGAAAGAACTAGAGGAGGTTTGAGGGCAGAACAGGGGCAGTGAGCTGCACTTAGGACTAGCTAAGTAAACTCTGTGCTTTTGTTCCTGAGCCCTTACCTCCTAATGGCAAAATACACAAAAACAGAAGCTGACTTGACATTTGTTTTTTTTTGTAGAGGTTAACAAACTGACCGAATACATTATTTCACATAAAAATATGTTTGCATATAGTTTAGTTGAAAGAAATGAGACCTTTATCCTTTGCACTACTTGCATCTCCACTAACTTCTGCTGCTGTCACATTGCTATTGGATGAGCAGCAGATAATTAGTGCAGCATTTCCTGAAGTAGTAATGGTAAAAGGGACACAAGATGGAAATGCCTCCTCTAACAGAATAATTATCTCCATACACCAAGAGCACACTGTGTTATGTGGAGAAAGCACCTGTTATAAAGGTCAAGTCAATTCACTTGCTATTTATATATCTTTTGTCAGGCCAATTTGCATTTTGCAATATTTGCACATTTTTCTCTGATTAGTATTTCTGGCTACTGTACATGTTACATTATGTATTATTATGGGTCATATCTACTGGAGTTTAAAAATTGTGGATAAACTAAGAAAAGCAAAATAATTTACAGGGTTATTCACAAAAGGGTGAAGAGTTTGGGGAAGGCAGGAGAAGTGAACAATCAAGGACAACATAGCTGAACTGGAAAGTGCTATATTGTCCTTACTGCTGCACTCCGCACACTATGTTGTACATTACATTGTCCTGACTGGTACACTCTTATGTGCTGTGTAGTAAATTCCATACACCTGATCCCTGTACTCTTAGTCTGTCTGTATTTTTTTTTAGGTCTATGTGACGTTCTCTCTCTCAAAGCACAGTAATTATGGAGCATTTTGTGGGTAGGAGGACTACAGACTGCACACAGTGCTTACATCATGTAAACTAAGACTCTACTTAACTATGCTCCATGAAGCCACACCCAATATTCAGCACACTTTAGCCTTGCCATTTGTTGGCATGGCACACAGGGCGCGCAGCAGGTCTTTTGCATCCCAGTGTCCCTCTTTCCCAGGTTCCAAAGTTGGGAAGTATGTTTGCTGTGAACTGAACTAAAAAGACAACTATACTTATCTGCCTCTCGAGCTGTCTTATATAGGCTTCTAGTTCTCTTCACCCATATAATGAAGATAAATAAGGAAGTCATGTTTCAAGTCCAGATCAGGAGTGCAGCCTAGTGTGACAACTATGGTTCCCTCCATAGATACAGAGGAAGAGCAAGCATAGCCACCCTAGGGCAGGAAGTGTGTTATTTTTTAAATTACTAGGTGAAAGGTTAAAAAAAAAAAGCCAGAAAAAAAAGTTGCAGCCACCTCATTCAAGGACTGTTCTATATAACATTTTTGGGTTTAGATACACTTTAACACAAGGCCACTTTGTTAGATTCTCACCTCCCAACCCTCAATATGACTCTGCCATTCCTCTAACACTTCTAATTTCTCCATCCTTCTCTTGGCCTCATTGATATTGGAGCACACAGCCTTCATCGCTTGTAGGGCCTCCAACACAGATGCATGGTCACTGTGCCTCTTTGGAGTCCTCTTCAGTAACTCCTGTGTACATCAAAAATAAATAAATAAATAAATAAATAAATAGATGCATACGTCAAGCTGATCCAGCATTTTCAGTTTCGGCAGCAGTCAGAGTTCCATTTATCAAAGCACAGCTACACTTTCCCTTTGAGAAAATTGTCTAAATTAGAGCTTTGTTTTTACACTGGGGGATTCTGCCTCTTCCAGGTCCTTCACCAGGGACATTACACCTCCAGCATATAGATTGGTCTTTCCTCAGAGAGATCCCGCCTCCAGTTTCACGTCCAGTCTCTCAGTCTGCGGTCACACACTCCAAACACACAAATTGCATATTGAACGGTGTTGCACACTGAGCAAAGGTGTTGCACACTGTTGAATTTGGAGTGTGCCTGTGGAATTGTGTGCCCATTCAGCCACAAGTGCATGGATATGGTTGAGTACTGATTTTGGATGAAAAGACCTGGCCCACAGTCAGCATTCCAATTTATCCCACAGGTGTTCATTAATGTTGAGGTCAGGATTCTGTGCAGCCCACTGGAGTTCCTCCCCACTAAACTCATCAAGCCATATACTTATAGAGCTCGATTTGTGCAGAGGGGTACAGTCATGATGGAATGGAAACGGGACTTCCCCAAACTGCTGTCACAAAGCATTAGCAGTAGCATTAACAGCACCCTTCATTATAAACACCAGAACGCACATAGTTTCAGCCATATAGGTGGGGATAATGGTCAGGTATCCACAAACATTTGGCCATATAGGGAATAACATTGATTCCTATTGTATTAGGTAATGTATTTGGAAAAATCTTGGGGGTTTAGAGGTGTAGGACACTGCAGCTGCCTAACATCGACTCTATATATCGAGCGCTAATCAATCATGTAAATGCTGATCGTTCAGCTCATGGTCTTCTCCATACAGAGTCTGACAGTCACTGCTCTTTACAGGGAGAAGACCATGAGCTGAGTGATCAGCAGTTACATAATCACTCAGTTCCTGGTCTTTGGAGCTGGCGCAGTTCAGTGTCCCATGCTGGCCCTAAGCAGAGGGAATTGTATAGTATACTCTCCGCACACTTCTCCTTTAAGGGAGGGGAAGGTAAGTAGCACTCCCTAGAGCACTGATACTGCAAAACAGCGTGATGACTACCATCAGCGGGGTGGTGTTTTAAGAAATGAGCCAGTGCCCAAGGGCAGATGGGCTGGTATCAGCTAGGTAGAGGAACCATATGTTCATAGCCCCCCAGCCACTGGAGCCAGCAGTCAATCAGGCAGCTGGTTGCCAGTGTATAGTGGGCAGTAGTCCACTACATGCTGACTTTGGGTCACAGGAGTACATTAGTAAAAAAAAAAAAAACTGATTTGGCTTTACTTCTCGTTTAATGACACTTTTAAAAACAACAACAGGTTTCACATCACCATAGTTATTTTCTGAGTGATAAACTGGCCATAAACAGGACTTGGTTGAAATTGAAGCAGTGCATAGTCAGCTATAGGCAACTACCAATTAATTTATTTTATTTAGTACTGCAGGTCAAATGCAAAATGGGTCTGGGGTGCAATAAATTGGGGCATCATGAAAACAGAACTAAACCCAAAAGAAGTTCATAGCAACTCACAATTCCACTTGAAACACTTCCATTTGCTGATTTTTCTTGCAATTACCAGAGTAGCCAAACTGACCATCTGGGCATGTTGTGTCTGAGTAGCTCATACAATATATATTAAAAACAAGCTAAATAATTTATTATAACACAGTCAGTATATATGTATAATGTTTTCAGCACATATACGGCATATATACAAATTGCCTGATTACAAGGTGTGCTTAGTATTGATGAGACTGTTCCACAATGATCACTGTTAGATGTTGCCTTTTCTGTGCCAAGTTTGTTCTGCATAATAACAGGCTTGTTAAAGGGAGAGCAAGGGAAGGCGGCTGATTGTATGAAAGACATTGAAATAAACTGAGTAGCATGCTTCACCCTTCTAATAACATCCCCTAGCAACCAGGGCATACTTACTCTCAAAAGAAGTGGGTACTTGCATATTCTCTGTATTGGAGCGACTAGATATCCTTCCAGTGGAACATCTGTGTTCTTCCTTCCACCAAGTAGCATGCAATTCTAAAAAACACAAACAAATCCAGGTTTCAGGCAGATCCTGGCTGTGTCATTCACTTTTTCCATGCTCAAGTACTCACACGTGGGTGTAAGCAATGTGTGCTTGCAGGAGAGTTCAGATTTGTACCGTATGTGGCTTGCTGAACTTCAGTCTGCTACAATTTACTAACAAACAGGAAGAAAGGATGCATTTTCCATGTCCAAAATCACTCCTTGTTTCTCTTCGTAAAGTCAATGTAATTAACAATTCATATAAAACTGCAGTTTTCCTACTTTGAAAAACTGTAACTGTTACTCTAAACCGCAGCTCTTGTAAGGAAAATAAATGTTTATTGCAACTAAAACAGAAATAATTTTTTTGTCTCATATATTATGTGACGGACCTGATATTGCTATTTTCGATGTCAAATAATGCATTATTTAAAAGAAGAAACTTTTGTAATCTAACGCTAAAATACTTTTTACTAATTAAAATATAATTTTTTGCTGTTTATGCCCCCCTTAGGGAGATTTTGCTTAATTTCCTGTCTTTAAATGACAACTGCCCCTATACGTGATTTTACTACAGTCTCAAGTTTACTTTGCTAATGTATTGAGATTGTAGTCCATCACAGGAGCGAACTTGGAATGGTGGCTACTTTCCAACACACACGGAGTCCATGCGGAAGAAAAGTAGCCACCCTCCAGAAGGAAGGACAGTGTCAGCACCAATTCAGAGATGATTTGAGGATCTACAGCCGAAAATGTACACAAGTAAATTAAATTTTTGTTAATAGGGTACTTGAGTGCATGTTTAAGATTTAACAGCTGAGTTTAGTGTCACTTTAATAAATAGCTGTTTAAAGGAGAACTATGGGGTTAGGGCTTTTCCCCATAGTTCTCCTTAGGGTAACGGGAGGACACAAACTAGCGTCTTGCCGTCACCTTAAGCTCAGTATACCGCCAGCTACAACTTGAGGTATACTGAGACGCTGCAGTATACCACGAGCTACAGCTTGCGGTATACTGAGACGCCGCAGCTGAAGCGGATCCCGACAATTATGTCTGCATCCGCCCAGCTGCGTGAGTGACAGCTGGCTCTGCCTATCTAGAGGCAGAGCCAGCTGTGCCCGCCCCCTCCCCCATTCGTTCCTCCACTCAGCGCTTGAGGATCGGAGAGGAGAGGAGGGAATCCCTGTGGGGAGCGCTGGAGGATCGGAGCGGGGAGGGGGGAATCCAGTCCCTCCCCTGTCACGGCATAGAGCCGTGACAGGATCGAGAAGTGAGCGAACGCCGGTATGTGTTCGCTCACTTTCCGATCTACTGAGCCGACCTGTGACAGTTTCATTGTCACAGGTCGGCTAGAACTATGAGGATGAGTGAAAAGCACTCACCTCATAGTTCTCCTTTAAGAGGGGAAATCCTAGAGTTGAATGACTGTTTCTGGTCCAGGTACATAATACCTTTTTCCCTTGATTCCATTTATTTTATTATTCTGCTCCAATGTCATGGTGCTCCACTACATTATTTGGCATTAAACTTTGCCCTTGAGTAAATATGCAGAGAGATATTCTCTTACAGTGCTATATAAATCACAGGAAGGAAATGTCACAGCGGAGGATTTCTGGTAGGAAAGAAACTTTTGCTTATTTAGTTCAGTGAGAAAATTGAATTTTGTGTTGCCAAAAATGAATAAAAGAAGGCCATAACATTTCAGGTTGTATACTAGTTAACTAGTTAAGTTCTAGTAAGGAAGAGTATTAGAGATGGCGGCAGTGCCAGCATTTGAAAAAAAAAATGTACATTTGAAGTAGATGTAAACCCAATAACCAAAACCTCATAATTATTAATAGATAACCTAATTTCAAAAATATCCTTTCTCCTCTATTTAATCATCAGATTTTAGTTAAGGAACAGCAGGCAATCCTTTCATAAAGGTCCTTGTTGAGGTACTTCTAGTGATAGGGTGACAACAATCTGCCGGTGTCTTTCAATTGTTCTACGCTGTCACCCTGTCAAAATTCACTTTAAGTGGAAACTTTAAGTAGGACATGTTGGCACTCAGTGTGCAGTCGTGTTTCATCATTTATCAAGCCAGGGCTGGGTTTCCATTTTGGGCGCCTGTAGGCATGAATGGAAATCTGTTTAACCTGAGCTGGCACCCTTAGGCACGTGCCAGCTCTGCCTAATGGTAAGTCTGGCCCTGGAGAAAGCCCATTCTGAGCAATGACATTCAACCACCGCAGAAGCATATGCATGTAGACAGGAAAAGGCTTCAAAAAGGGTGCAGGAGATTAAGCTAAGATGCAACAAAGGATAGAAAAAGGTGAAAGCAATATTTTCTAAAATAACAATAATTTTCCTCACAATTACTTACCAGCAAAAACGTTCTCACTGTTCTGATCTTGTTCAGCTCCAAGAGAAGTTTCTGTGCCTTTTCATGGTTGCTGCAGTATTCATCATAAATGGCAAATCGTTCTTTCTACGGTTAGAGAAGTAATTTATTTATGTAACAATACAGAGTTATAACTGCATAGGTGACAATCACAACTGAAGGTGCTTCACCTGCCTCTAAGACAATTCATTCCCATAGTCAAAAGCTGGGCAATATACAACCAGCAATATTTTATGCTGTCCTCTAGGCATGAATCATTTTGCATACGTACACTGGCCCAGCTTGGCCCAATGTAAGTATGCATATGCCACACCTGATTGGCCCATGGGAATCCTGTAAAACACTGTACTAGCCGGAGTTACTACAGTGCTTTAAATCGATGTAAAGTGAGGGGTGGACCGTGATGTCACTAACCCCCTCGTTTAATCAGAGAAGATCTTGTATTCATTGATAAAAATACTAGACATTATCCTAATGTGTCAAGCGAGTGACCCCCAGTGTTTCCAGAGCAGAGGGGAAGACATTTAACATAGCACCCTACAGGACCCAGGAGATCACTGTAAAGCACTGTGGTAGCTCTGGTTTATACTGTACCTTACAAGAACCCCAGCGGCGGCCGACCAGGTATGGGATACATGTACTTACATTGACCCAAGCTGGAGAAATGTAAGTATGCAAAATAATTCATACCTGGAGCTCAGCTTTAACCAGGGCTGGCCTTAGGCCTTTAGGCGCCCTGTGCGAGAAAGCTTTACAGTGCCCACTTAGTGCCCACACCCCTCAGTAACCCCATGCCTCAGTGACCACATCCATTTCTCCAATACCTGCACCATTTAAAGCAGGGGTGGTGAACCTCCGGCCTTCCAGCTGCAAATCCCATGAGGCATTGCAAGATTTTCATAGAGACAGATGCATCATGGGATTTGTAGTATCACCACAGCTGGAGGGCTAGAGATTCCCCACCCCTGATTTAAAGCCTCTCATTTTGCTAAGCCCTAAAGAAACATTAAAAAGTATGATAGAAATAAAACTTTCATTCAAAGGTATTAAACTTGTAAGCACAATATAAGTATTCTTATTAAATAAAACAACGGAAGGCAAACAAGTGATAAACAATAATTTTAAAAAAAGGTGAATCTAGAAAAGTAAAAACAAAAAACAGAACACAAAACCTAGAGTACATGTTAAATAGTGCATACTGTTTACTGAAACAAAGTGCATGGTAAACACTGTTGCACATGTATAATATGTAGGGGGGGGTTGTTTTTTTCTGTAGTTTTTTTTGTTTTTTACTGTTAGAGGGGCTTTGGTAAAATATCATGGGTCTACACAGACCCCTGACATTTTCCCTTTGAAACAGGAAAACAAATTGGGGACACAGAGTCCTCAATCTCTTTTTCTGCAGCCTCAGCACTGAATGAATGGAAAACACTCAGTACAGAGACTTCCCATTCATTCACAAAGTGGAGATAGTAAATATTTATAGCCTCTGTACTGAGCTGCTTCTACCCATTCAGAAACTCATGAATGAACAGGAAGTGATGTAAAGCACTTCCTAGTCATTCATAACTGGGGACACATATTACTATGTGTCCCCATTTGTTTACAAACATTGGAGTGATGAGCATACATGCCAGTGTTTGTGCTACACATAGAGGATCAGTAGATATGACACATATTTACTGATCCTCTGCTCGGCCACGCACGGAGCCGCTGTCATCCCGAAACTGACAGGATGACAGCGGCTTCCCCTCTCTACTTCCTGCTCGGCTATCCTGATGGGCAGTACATTTTTCCTCAGATCCTCTACTCCCTGTTGCCCTGAGGGGAGGCCATGTCACTATGACCTAAGCTGCCCTGTCTGCAGCTTGTGTCATAGTGAACGGTGTCAGCCGCCTGGCACCCCTGTTGCCATGGCGCCCTGTGCGGCGACAGTTTGCACACTCCAAAGGCCGGCCCTGGATTTAACAAGTAGTCAGTATAACATTCTATTTATTTTAGTCATTGATTATGCTGGTATATGTGGTTAGAAAATGACCACCAATTGTTCCTTTGGCCCATTTGTTGCCAGTCAATGTGATTTTTCTCAGCCACCAACAAATGTGAAGCCTTGCTTATAAAGCACAATGGGGTCAATTCACAAAGCTTATTTTCTTCATTTCGGCCGTTATTTCATTGATATCGCTTGTTATATAGTTGCTGTTTAGAGGTAGTCAATTCACAAAACTCAATAACGCTTCCTTTTTTTAAGAAGTGCTAAATTAACTATTCAGATGTTATTTTAACTATCCAGACGTTATTTTAACTATTCAGACGTTATTTTAACAACTGGAGTGATAAAATATGCTTGAAATGCAATTCACAAAAGGAAAAGGTCCTTTTATCACTCGTTATTGAGACGTAGATTTATCACCTCCTTCAGGGTGGCGTTATGACAGATTTCAGGCGTTATCTGATGCTTGTTGCACTGAGATGACATGAGGTATATAAAATGGAACCTTTTTTTCTTCATTTTCACATGGTTTAATGCTTTTGCGTACAGAAGAAGATGGCATGTAGTTGTCATTTCTACAGTTTTTATCCTTCTACAAATGTAGATGATTTTTTACAGTTTGAGGTTAGTGGCAAATCTCACATGACATGAAAAATCAAATGTCCCTGGACACACTTCAGTGGGGGTTGTAGAGCAAGTGGATTGTTCCATGCAACATATTTAATATCAAGACAGGCTTTATAGGTGGTAAGGAGAATTTATTGCTCTCCCTACACTGCCTGATTGTCAACAGATGCAGATCTAAATAAATCTAATGTTTCATATATTCATTCCGTTCAGAAAAAAAGTTATTGTTATTTCTATATGATTTCTTCTCTACCAAATGTAAAATTAGTATGCATGTGGCGAATATGGAATATATTCCTTCCTTCTATGTGGAATCCTTTTGTGTGGTGAAAGTGAAAGTAACAGTAATTTAGGCATCTGCTCCACCCCTTCTGCTACCAAAATGCACTGCAAAAGTGTTAAAATAACACCCAAAACGTTATTTTATCACAGCAATAGATAAAATAAAGTCTGTGATGTTAAAATAACACTTGCTTAAGGAACGTTAAACTGCGTGTGCATTAACGATTCCGGCTTTTGTGAATTGCATGTTTCAGCCAGTAAAATAAAGAGTGGTAAAATAAGGATAGATAAATTAACTTCTACTCTCATAACGCTGAGCTTTGTGAATTGACCCCAATGTACTGTCTTTCATAGGGGTCACCTTAGATCAACATCATCCTTTAAAAGTAGGCTGTAAGCCAAATGCTTTTACACAAATTACCCAGCTTACATGACAAGGACAGGCTATTGCTTATATCTCAAGGGCTCTGTTTTCATTACATGCAGCAACAGAATTCATAAATGCAGGGTTGCAATGTCTCTGAGTGTAGCGAAGATACAGCAGCTAGGTGTAGTAAATTGGAAGTAACTAGGTTGTATCTACTGCTCTTTCCCTGAGTTAACAGCTCAACATTAAGCTGCATTTACTCCTCTGCATGTTTCATTCAGAGTAATTCCGCTCTAATGTTTTAGATACATTACCATTCACCCCTATGAAAGATGTGCTTTTGCGCAAACTGCACCAAAGATGCAGCAAGAAGGTTTTTAATGCACCACAGTAAACACTTAGCCTCTATTTCACACCTGAGCATATGTTTTTCAGGTAATTTTATAGCATTTATACTATAATTTTTTTTTCTAATTTGAAGTGTTTTTCATGTGTTTCTAAGGTTCAGGTGTTTTTATATTGGCCAAGAGAAAGCAGTGTCGTCTGTGACATCGCATCTTTGTATATGCTTTCTGTTTTTCCTGTGTGGTGTATGGTGTCTCCCAATCTGGGAAAACATGCCCAATTTCTTCCCAGGCCCTTTGCTATTTATAATAGGCATCACTGGGGTTATACAGGCTCTTGTGGACCCTCATCCGGAGGATAAAAGTCTCCATATCCAGCATGGACACACCTGAATCCTCTATTTTGTTCACATGCGTGGGGCTGCTAAGAGGATACTGCTTGTTATGTGTGTGAAAAAATGTGTGAAAAATGCACCAAACTACTTGTGTTGCACATTTTCAAGTGTTCGCATTGAAGTCTAGGGGGCAAAAACACAATTCTACCCAAAAAGAAGCTCATGAACTTTCTCATGCAACAATCGCCAGCACAATGCTGAGTTGTGATAGGGCACCATTAAATATTATGGAACTCTTCATGTTGAGTGTTGTCTATGTTCAGGAAATTAATGACACCTTGCTCAGTTGTAATTGGGAATTAAAAGAGACCTATGGGGTAAGTGTTTTTCCCCATAGTTCTCTTTAGGGTCACAGGAGGAGATATACTAACCTCCTCCCAGGACCCAAAGCTCAGTATATTGCGGGCTATTGCCCGCGATATACTGAGAGCACCATAGCTGGGACGGATCCCGACAATACTAGCTGGATCCACTCAGCTGCGTGAGTGACAGCTGGCTCTGCCTATCCAGAGGCAGAGCCAGCTGTGTCCGCCCCCTGCCCCCAATCAGTGCCGGAGGATCAGAGAGGGGAGGGGGAATCTCTGCGGGGAGCGGTGACTGAGCGGATCGGCTGCATGTTTCTGCTCACTTCCCGATCAATAGAGCCGACCTGTGACAGCTTCTTTTTCAGGTCGGCTCTAACTATGAGGATGAGTGGAAATCACTCACCTCATAGTTCTCCTTTAAATGTACATAGTTCAACACTGGGTAGCCTATTCTAGTAAGCAGCCTAATCAAGGTAAATGTATTATACTACACATATGAATGTTTGTGTTATGAAAGTTTTTAGAATGAATATTCGTTCCCTCAGCTTTTAAGAGATCTATTGAACATTTTTAAAAGCAACATGAGACGTTCATCAAATATGGCAAATCATGCTGCCTCTCATCTACCAAAGTCTATGCAACAGTTTTTGGCAACCCCACGATTTGGAAGTGGTCAGGTGGTATACCCTCATAGTGCTACTTTAGAGCAGCATACAAAGGAATTTATGAATCAAAAGGCAATTGTATAGGAAATATGCTTCATAATCTGTCTCCCTGCTCCTGTTTAGCACTACCTTGCTACGTGACAGAACTGATAAATGCCCCACAAACACCAATGTACCGTATATAAATTGGTGTGAACCCTTGAGAGATGTCAGTGTTTCCTTACAAAAGCATAGTAAGCCATTTTAGTTAGGGTGCTATAAATCTTGTATTTGGACTCTGGAATAATAGAAAAAGAGGTAGAGGTATATTAAAGTAATCCTGTGTGACTAGTCATAGGATTTATTTGTTACTACGGTGAATACAAGGATATAAGTGTCACCATGCACTGGAAAATGTGAAGGCTACGAATAAGGGATACAGACTTTACAGGTGACTTCAATACTTTGTTTTCCAAATATAAAAGTTAACATTACTACAATCTACTTCTATCAATATTTTTGTATACATAAAATATATATACAAATTACATTTACCGTATATACTCGAGTATAAGCCATCCCGAATATAAGCCGAGGTACAGTAATACCTTGGTTTACGAGCATAATTAGTTCCGGAAGCATGCTTGTAATCCAAAGCGCTTGTATATCAAAGCTAATTTCCCCATAGGAAATAATGGAAATTCAGATGATTCGTTCCACAACCCAAAAATATTCATATAAAAATGATTACAATAATGTACTGTAATATAATACTGTACAAAATATAAAGAAAAATAAACCAATTACCGGTACCTTCGTGGCTGGTGGTTAAAAAAAATGGGCTGAAAATCTCGGCTTATACTCGAGTATATACGGTATTTATTTAATACAGTATTTATACTGTATAGCACCGACAATTTACGCAGTGCTTTACATTAGCTCTAAAACACCATGGGGTTGATTTTCTGAAAACCTAGAGGCTGTTGACTTGGCAACATAAATGTTTACTTTAAAAAGTGTATCTTCTAGGATCATCAATAAGGTGAACATGTGTTCACCTTAAATATTCAGCCATGTGTAAGGTACTTAAAAAAAACAGCATTTTTGCTAGCATATGATTGGTTGACTGAAGTGAACACGGCTTCACCGTATTTGCCAAGCTCAGCACACATTCACTTTGCTAAGTGAGCAGTCTATTCCATTATTAAAGTAACACCACAATATCTACATGTCTCACTTCCATCACAAATCTTCCCAAAGGGGTTCGTTCAAAAGTAATAAACTTTAGAAAGCTTTAATATTTCACAATTTATAAATAGTTGAATACTTTGCAGTTAATATTTGCTAAATATAATTTTTGGTGAGATTGCACAATGTAGCTTCTCTATTCATCCCTGCACACCTGCCATGACGCTGAGCTTCTAGAGAGGCTTCTGCAGTTTGGCAGGAGGTGGAAAGCAAGAGCCAGATTCCTACTGCCAAAGCCACAAAGTAAGTTCATGTTCCTGTAAATGTACAGCTTGTCTCCATGAAACATGAAAACCTCTCCAGAATGAGTAATTAGTGAGTACAAACTGTCCCAAATTCTTCAGCACGAGGTAATTACTTTTCGAATACAATTTTCATTTCCATATATTTATACTGTATATACTGCAGACTTTACTGCACCTGTAAATTGTTCTGTCAGCCTTGGAATTTTTACGTTTAAACATGCTTAAAAATAAGAATTTTCTGGTATAATGGCTGATGAGTTTTTGTTCGCTCCTCCAGTAGTTACATAATGTGTAAAGAAGTCTGGATTTTAGCCATTGCCCTGGCCCTCTCCCCAGCACATGATTAAAGAAAAACTGAACCCAAAACTTTGTTTTTTATTTGGATAGAGTAAGAGAGGGTTATAACCCCTGTCATCTTTTTTTGCCATCTGTGTCCCTTTGGGGAGACTTCCCTTCACTTCTTGTCCCATAGCCACAACAGGAAGTAAAAGGAAATCCTTCCAAAGTGAGGGAAATCCTTGGTGGTCAGCAGGGTCATTAGAACTAGTGCCCCCAATGAAAGATTTCCCACCTATCCCTGCTCTGGTGACAAGCAAACATTTGGGATTTTCTTTCACTTTCAGTGATAACAGTCACCAAGACTAAATAGGGTGAATCTCCCTAGACAGCAATAAAAAGCTGACAAGTGTTCTCTAATCCCTCTTCACTTCAAAAAAGTCCTTCTCATCTCCCAAAAAAAATTTTGGCTTCAGATGAACCTTTGCAGCCAAATTGGGATAACACCTTCTTTAAAAATTAAAACATTTCTCCTTACATTTTTAAGTGCTGTACACTTCCTTACAAATCCCACCTAGTTTTCCCCAATGTAATGTTAAGGGGGGGTGTGGGAAGTTATGTTTACTCTAATTGTTCCTGTCTATACTGTGCAGGCAGAGTTCATTATCAGTTATAACTAGATTTGAACACCGTCTGTCCTAACAAAGGGTTAAAGAATAAGAACAAATGTAGTGTTAATGAGAAGAAGTTTAGTCTGAAAGTAAAAGTAGAGGGTCAAACAGAGAGACAGACTGATCAGAGTAGTCTGGAAGTCATTTCAAACAGCTAAAAGGTATGAAATATATTTTTTATTATTATTTTAGGTGTGCTGTGTGAATGGGAACACAACAAATGTTTACTGGAGTTTTTTCAAATTTGACTGCAAAAGTTGAACTACACTTTAAGCCTAGTCTTGTGACCTTGTGTGTCGCTAAGGATGAGCTCTGGATAGCAGGGCAATCCACCTTGACCAATAGCACAGTGAGTAAATGGCAAAGACATACTGTATATTAGGCACCAAATGACATTACTCAGTGTCACAAAATAGAGCAGCTGATTGTTTAGAAAAGTCAATACGATACCCTTATCCTAGACAGGGGTCTGGTATGGATTTTAGGAGGCAACTCCAGGCAAAAAAGGACATGAAGTTCACATCAGAGTCCTCCCCTTTCACATCAGAAGCCCCGCTCTTCAGATCAGAAGTCTCATCTTCACACCAGGAGCCTCCTTTGAATCAGAGTCCCCCCTTTCACATCATAAGCCCCCCTTCCCATCATAAGCCCCGTTATTCACATCAGAGTCTGCCTTCACATTAGAAGCCCCTTCTTCACTTGAGAAGCCCCATCCCCTTTAGTGAAAATTTGAAGGCACCCTTGACAAATCCAGAAGGCACCTCTATGGGAAGGCAACCTGTTTTAAAAAGGCTGCTCTAGGCTGCCTATTCTGGGAGTTGGAAAACAGAACTCCATGGCAATATTAAAGGAGAACTATGAGGTGAGTACTTTTCACTCACCTCATAGTTCTAGCCGACCTGTGACAATGAGACTGTCACAGATCGGCTCAGTAGATCGGGAGGTGAGCCAACAGATACCGGCATTCGCTCACCTCTCGATCATGTCACAGCTCTCTGCCGTGACAGGGGAGGGGCTGGATTCCCCCCCTCCCCGCTCCGATACGCCAGCGCTGACTGGCGGATCTGACGGGGGCGGGTACAGCTGGCTCTGCCTCTAGATAGGCAGAGCCAGCTGTCACTCATGCAGCTGGGCGGATCCAGACATAATTGTCGGGATCCACTTCAGCTGCGCGTCTCAGTATACCGTGAGCTGTAGCTATATATATACTAGTATACTGAGCTTAGGGTGACGGGAGAACGCTAATTTGTGTCCTCCCGTTACCCTAAGGAGAACTATGGGGAACAGCCTTAACCCCATAGTTCTCCTTCAACAGTACATGTCAACTGTATATTAGGCGTTTACTTCTTCAGCGTTGGAAGCACCTTATTTATTTTTAACAATAACAACATCAAGTTTTGCACAATTTCTATGCTTACCAAACAGACCAAATCTAAATCTGGCCATACAAACTACAACCTGATTGTACAATATATCTAGAGTCTCCTTTACATCTACTAAAAACTATATACTGCAAAGACCAAGCTAAAAAGCCCATTCAATTAATGTCCAAACAGGCTGTTATATTACATATTTGTAATAGATCTAAAGAAGAGTTTGTGATAAAATTATCAGTTCAGTAGCTTACTTTAGAATAGCCATCCAAAATTTGAGCATTAATAATCAATTTGGCTGTAGGTGCAGTAGGTGGTCCCGATAATACATGATGGTAATATCCACACCCAGCCCTGGACAGTAAAAAAAGAGCACGACACAAGGCAAGCCAGAACTTACAAATCTTAGAAAGCAGGTTCCCAATTCTTGGTGTGAATTTGGTTCAGGATACAGGGATTCCTCAATAAGGGACAAGAAGTCTCTGTGTACCACAAGAATGTCCTCAATGTTGGAGAATAACATCTGAAGAGATAACAAAAGCATATAGGTGAGATGATTATAATTATTATTATGATTATACAGTAATTATAAAACGCCAACAGTTTGCGCAGGACTTTACATTATAAGGAAGACAATACAATCACAATACAATTCAAGACAAGATGGTAAGGAGGGCCCTGCCCCTGAGGGCTTACATTCTGAGAGATAACCTAAATGACTGAAAAAATTAAAATGAATAAAAGACATATCTCATTCTATACCTTGTTCTTTCACATGCAACAAATACCAGTAAACATAAAGGCATTGGTATGAAAATCAGAGGACTACATTTCCACAGTAATAATGCATGTTCATTCCAGCTAACAATTCTAAATTAACAATAACACCCTATTGGTATTCTGCATTAGGTGCCGTGCCCAGGGATCTGCAGAATTATTTTATCTTTGTACATACAATGAATTCAAATTACCAAAATATCTACAGTAAGAACCATGCTGAACCATCAGATTCAAACCATCACTAGAATGCAACGATTGGAGAATGAAAGGAACAACCTGATATATGCGGCCAACACAGACAGTACTTTTTTAAGATAGTTTGATAACTCAGCCCTTAATGCAGGGGTAGCCAAACTTCAGCCATCCAGCTGTGCTACAGCTACAAATCCTATAAATCACTGCAAGACTCTGACAGCTACAGACATGGCTTGCAGAACCAGATGTAGAATGGGATTTGTTTTTAAGCCTTTTTTGTTGCACGTTTTCTGCAACAGAAGCAGCTCACCTCCTTTTTCTCCACATGCCTGAAGCTAAAAACACTTAAAAAAAACATGAGTTGATGCACATTGAACACCTCAAAATGCAAGTTGGCATGGATAAAATGCTCAAAATGCTTCAAAAGCCTGAAAATAGCCTGAAAATGCTGACGCTGGGGTGTGAATGGAGCCTAAAGTGAGAGAGCTGTTCTATTTGCAAAGAGATTTTTCTGTCTGTCCAGTCCTGCCAAACTGGTGACCTGACTTTTCTCAAATTAGTCATACAATAAAACCTGGTCACTTCCCTGTCAACAGAGTTTGACCAGACAATAAAAGAGCAGCAGATGACTGATGAGATCATCCCTCTCTTTTGGCCTTCAGTCAGTATGTCCATTATTGGCACATGTGCATGTTGCACACTTGATTGGTCCCAAGTGCTGACCCCACATCTCTCAACATTGAATGCTGCTGTACAGGAGGGACTGATAGTAAGACAATTTACTTGTTGCACTGACAAATACATTTTGGGATTTGTTTTAATGAATACGCAGTCATATTCGTTGTTTATTATATCTGCCTGGAGTTCAGCTTTATTATATGGTAACTACTAAAACTAACATGGAGGTACTCATCAACTCACACAAAAGGTTCCTTAAAATATGGGATCTGTGTATCCATTATGCACATCGAACACTCCCGCCAGTTAGCATTACCATTTAACACACTGCTCCCGCAAGGTGGGAGGGCCGCGGGGGCTCTAATTCTGCAATTTCTTTTTTGCCCCCCTTTACTGTCTCTGGTTTTCTTTCTTGGTTTTCCATTTTAATTTTGATGTTTATACTTCATAGTCTTTATAACTCTATCCCTTCTAAGCGTAATGTAGATTCCCAAGGTGGCTTTACGCTTCACTAGATAGCTAACTCATGTCTGTAAAGCTTGAAAGTACTTTATCAGGAATGACTGAGGTCCCTATCTTGGAGACTCCAAATTGAAACTCCCATGTACAACGTCTAGACACCTTGGTTTTGTGTATCACAGTCTTGATGTTTTGGATTGTGCCAATATTCTGCCTTCTTTATATTTAATGTAATTAGTGCATCTTGTCTTGGAAGGATTGTTAAAGCAAACTCCCATGGGGTCATCATACGCCAGACTGTTTATACCTAAAATTGCTCTACGTTGTTACAGTTTTTCTGTGTGCTTTAAAGCCAATAGAAATATTGAAAATGAAACTAACATATAGAAATATAAGGACTTTATGGTAATTTGGTCACTGGCATTTCCAGGTACAAGCCTTAAAAACCTGACACATTCCTGGAATTAGCTTTGTCACATGTTGTTGCACCTAGGACCCAGGCACTCAACATATGCAGCCCTATCTTTCTCTCTGATTTCCATTTAGGCTGATTTGTATTCGGGTCTAATGGATTGCATTTTCTTTCTCTCCTGCAATGAAAATACAATTTTAAATCCTTTGCGGTTTGTTGAATGAGTTTCCCGTTAAGAGTGGACACACGTGGTGCAGCATTCTTTTTCATACATGTACATCCTTTTATATCAGAACGTGTCTGAGAAATAGCCTCAGTGTGTCCATTTTTCTCCCAAGAGCTTTGTTTAGAGCTGAAAAATTTAATGTTTCTGTGGCGTGTACCTAGCAGTGTACAGGCAGCATTACTCAGAGAAAAGATCAATGCTCCGGAGCTCAAGATTATTCTGAACTAACTTGAAGAATGTCTGCACACTGCATTATGTGCAGAGGGCAGAGAGGACAGCAGTGAATACCAAGTGAAAAACATTTTCTTCACGTTACGTGGGAGATACATGCTTCTAACTTTTTTTAGGACAGATAATTGTGGAAGCTGATTTCCTAACATGGTCTCAAATTCATAAACAATCTATATAGTACAGCACAATATTTCACATCTATGGGTCACAGGGTGATCATGCTTGGAAAAGTATGCTGGGAGTTTATTTTAACAACAATCAACTCTATGTCACAGCTCTAATAGTGGTGTGGGCCTGGTATCCTCCATAGATCTCACCCAGTTTAATAGTGTCCAACAGCAGCCTAGCTGCTTCCTCCGCTGTATTTTAGCAGGTAAATATAATGCAGGATGGATTGTAGCAGACAGTAATACAGACCTCCTGCCATTTTCTGCCTTTCTCCAGACCTGGGCACAGTCTCAACACATATGACTGGAACTGTACCACTTATTTGGGATTATTAAGGATAAACCAATGTGACCTCTTTTGGATTTCTCTGTCTTAATCTGGCCATACACCTATAGATTATCTGCAACAGATTCCTCCATCTACACTAAACTGTGTGGATGGAGGAATCTCCCACTGGACCAAGCTTCGATATCTTGCTAGTTGGCCCCCCCTGGCCCTCTGAACCTGAACAATGCCTGCATCCAATCGGATTGTTCAGGTATTTTGACAGCCAGCAGGGCCGACTAGCAAGACCCTGTAGCTTGGCCCAGCGGGAGATTCCTCCATGAAAATGTATAAAAACAACTGATCTCACATCACCTCACCCACCTGCATAACGGTTTAGAAGGCTTGGTACAATGTTTTCATTACAGAAAAGTAGCCTGACAATTTTTGCTATATTTTCTTTGGTAAATCCATAGTGTTTTAGGAATACTGTGCCATTGACACACCCTGTATTAAATATGTGTTTGCAAAACAAATATTTTATTTAAAAATCTCAGCAGCAAGCTCTAAGGATTGTCTATTCGTTTTTAATATAGTGTAGATAATATTGGAAAAACTATACAGGGAACAATAATTTCACACTGCTGAACAGTGATACTGCACAAGCAGGCCTTGCAATTTTAACAAGACCCTAAACTCCGCACACTCCAAGACCTAAGTGAAATATCAATTTTGAATGGACAGACCCCTTAATAAATGTCATTATAAGTGTTAAGAGTTGTAAATCTTAAAAACACTGTAGCTAAACAAATATTTGTGTGATATGATACCGATGCTTTAACAAAAGGCAGAATGCCACAAGCACACATAGCGCTCAATGAATAATTAGTTTTAATTAATGCAAATGAAATGACTGAAAGGGAATATTGGACCGTGTTCTATAAGCCTTTGCTCATTTGCATCTATTTAGAATATTCACCCAACTGATTAGAACAGTCCAACTAATGGTCTTTTGTAGTGAAGGTTTGAGCCATTTAGGTCTGGCGGTTGTTGCTTTTTACCTTAGCTTTACACATCTGCTCCTGTTTGTGTTAATACATGCAAATTTTTGAGAAGTCTTTTCAATGCCCATCTTAAATAATTCATCTTTATGGTTGACTGCACACAAAATAAAAGCTATCTCCAACAGGCTATGGCAGTTTTTATTTTTAAGCCATATTGTACAGCCGATACCTAAGCAGAGTCACATCTAGGACGGAGGCAGGATTTATCATAACATATCTCACTAATTTATTAGACGCCGTCATATAAACAAAGCACTTTAAATGGATGCACATGTAGCAGACAAAAGGAATGACTACACTAATGTATAAACACTTTGCTGGATTCAGTTAGAGCGTAACTAAACAAAGTCCTTGATGGACTACAATCTCAATACAAATTACTAAACTAAACATAAGATTGTAGTCCATCACGGGAGCGAGCTTGGAGTGGTGGCCACTTTACAAGACACACAGGGACCATGGGGAATAAAAGTAGCCACCCTCCAGAAGGAAGGACAGTGTCAGCACCATTTCAGAGATGATTTGAGGATCTACAGCTGAGTGATACACAAGTAAGATACATTTTTGTTAATAGGTAAGGTACTTAAATGCATTTTTAAGATTTAACTCCTGAGTTTACCATCACTTTAATAAAGAGTGTGGGAGACCCCCTCTGTGTTTCTACTCTGAGCAGTCTATAGCAGGGTCCACTTAATCAAGAGACTATCTTCAAATAATTATTCATGTTCACATCATCAGAAACAAAAGGAATGTCCTACAATTTAAATGTCACAAATAACTTGTTTCCTTTATCATTCCCTTTGTGTTGTGCCACAGCTCTGAACTCACTCCCGTGAGGGACTGCAATCTCAATACAAATTAGTTACCTAAATGTGAGATTGTAGTCCATCACAGGAGCGAGTTTGGAGTGGTAGCTACTTTACAACACACACAGGGACCATGTGGAACAAAAGTAGGCACCCTCCAGAAGGAAGGATAGTGTCAGGACCAATTCAGATATGATTTGAGGATATACAACTGAGTGAGGCACAGATGATGTACAGTATTGTTAATAGTTAAGGTACTTGAATGCATTTTTAAGAATTAACTCTTGAGCTCCAGGACAGCTACAGTCAGAAGACTGCTGCTCCCACCCCCGGCCCCATAGCTCTGCACAAAGCTAATCATTACCTATATACTTTCCAATTCTTCTTTAAAACACGACCTGCTTGGTGATGTTTGAAGACTTGAACAAGGTCTTCTATTGGGTTGATAGGTACAGTCTAACTAACGAGGTCAGGGCACTTTCATGTCCTTCACTAATAACATCGTTTGTGGAAGACAAAATACAGCTATATATTCTAAAAATACAACAGAAACATCAAGAATTTCAAAACTAACCTTTACAGTTTCCTCTGTGACATTTTTATCAGATTTGGAGGCTGCATATTGCATCAATCGGTGAAAAAATGCCTGTGAAAAAAAAAAAATGTGAAGAGGTATTATTAAACAATGGCTGAAGAGGATGAGAAGTACATCAAACCTACTCTATACTAATACAACTGATCAAATTAGGACAAAACTGATCAATTTAAAGCTATGTCTGTGTCATAAAGATGGAAAAGCAAGCAAGTATAAGAATACACCGTTGGTTTAGTTATGTATTAATTAAAGTGACACTAAACTCAGGAGTTAAATCTTAAAAATACATTCATGTACCTTAATTATTAACAATACTGGACCTTATTTGTTTATCACTTGGCTGTAGATCTTCAAATCATCTCTGAATTCATGCTGACACTGTCCTTCCTTCTGGGGGTGGCTATTTTTGTTCTCCATGGTCCCCATGTGTGTTGTAAAGTAGCCACTGCTCCAAGCTAGCTCCTGTGATGGACTACAATCTCACGTTTAGTTTACTAATAATTTGTATTGAGATTATAGTCCATCACAGGAGCAAGCTTGGAGCAGTGGGTACTTTACAACACACACAGGGACCATGGGGAACAAAAGTAGTCACCCTCCAGAAGGAAGGACAGTGTCCGCACCAATTCAGAGATGATTTGAGGATCTACAGCTGAGTGATACTCAAATAAGGTCCAGTAGTATTATTAATAGTTAAGGTACTTGAATGCATTTTTAAGATTTAACTTCTGAGTTTAGTGTCATTATGCCAACTATGCATTTCAAAATACTGCTAATGTAGTGCCCCCCTGACCCCCAGAGGCCTGAGATGTACCCCTTAAGGGCAAGGGAGGGCCGACATTTAACTCTCAGGGGCAGATCTTTAGCCAGTGAAGGGATGTGTGATCAAGAAGTTGGACGCCAAACAGATTAAGTGTCTTTTTAAATGCTTTATTGTAGAACTTCAAAACTGCGAGAGAGGATATAGGGCTTCAGACATCTATAGCAAAAGTAGAGAAGACTCCAGCCTCACCAATCCTTTCAGACTTCCACAGTGCAGAATCATTAGGAGCACAGGCTAACACTGGGCAATAGAGCAACAGCTGAACAGGGATAGGCATGACATATTCCATAGGAGAGAAACAAGACTTCCTGAGGTCCACATCAGTACCAGGCACCTCCAGTAATCTTAGGGCTTCCCTGGTTCTCCTACTCTCTCAGTTCCAGACCCCTCCAGGGTCCACAGGTGTGGCCTCCTCCAGGCTTGAGGACTAGTCAGCATCTCCATCTCTGAGCATCCCACCCCCAAGCTAAGCCCAGGGGCGGACTGGAACTAAGCACATGGCAATCCTCTGAATATATATGCACTCCCACAGCATGCACCACTGCCCATGAAATTCCCAGTGATTGACTGGAGAGGCACAGACACCCATGATGTTCCAACACTGGCTGTCCCACACTGCAGCAAGGTCACACCCAACTCATGCAGGTACAATCAATAACAGAACACCTGGACTTAACTACATATAACCAACTACAAATCAGATACTGCAGACTGATAACAGCTCTGACAATGCTATATTTCTAGTAGCCAGTCCACAAAAGGTAGTAGGGGCTACACTAGTATAACTACTTGTCCTCATGTTATCTACCGGATTCCTCTGCAAAGCAAAAGGAAGACTAAGGGGTTGATTTACTAACCTTTTAAACACACCACGAACGTGTATACACCTCTGTAGTGTGTTCCCTCCCAGCATGATCTATGGGAGGAATCGAAACACCTTTGTAGTGTGTACACACCCAGCAGGTGTGTTGTGCAAAGCCCTGCAATGAATTGCAAGGTAATGTGGTGTAAATTAGCTCTATGTTATGTTGCTTGCGTTGATGAATGCAGGAATGTAAATGCATGAGCTAACCATTTTTGTCTAAACTGTGAAGCAGCATTATATATGCATCATGTGCATGATTTTTCCATATATGGCATTAGTGGAAATATGCTTTTAGAGACTTTTTGGTTGATAAATACGTTTTGCTGTGTGAAAATCACACACACCTGGTGTGTGTGTGTGTGTTTAGGTTAGTAAATCACCCCCTAAAGCTGGCCGCACACGTATTGTTTTTTCTTGTTCAGGCTGCAGACTGAATGAGAATAAACCACTTGATTCTCCCATCCACACTGAACAATGCGAATTAAGGAATTTCCTCTGCCAGCTGTCAAAATACCTCAACAGTAACCGCAGCTGATTGACTGGAGTCACTGTTTGAACGACAGTTTTTAGCCTGGCTCCATCAAGTCAGTTTGTGCCAGCAAGGCCACCTATGGTTGGAATTCTGGCAGTTTAACAGGTGCCGAGCAAATGACCTGCTTTGATCAGTGTACTCCAGCCAGAACTGTCAGTCTCAGCGATGGACATTACTGTACTCTAAGGACCAAATTAAACAATTTTCATTTTCCCAAAGACAGCAGCATACACAAATGGCACACACTTCATTAGTGGTCATTTATTTTTAAAGTGCAAATGTCTAAATTGTTTTTGGCCAGAGTTTCTAAGAAGTCAGAGGCAACATAACCTGTAACACACCATTTGGAAATGACTGGAATTTAACACTAAAGAGATTTTAGAAAGTGCATTTGAGGGATTATGGAAAATTGGGGAAAATGCGTTCTATTTATGTGCCAGGAACATTCAACAAGCAGTGAAAACACACAAATCACACAAAGTGCACATGGCGATGAATCCCTGACTGAAAGGATTTATAAAATCATGTCATACGTTTCAACCTCTGTCAAATCCCTCCATGTGACCTCCTGGATTTGTGTGGAAGCAGAATTACACTGTAACTGGTAGTATCATATAAATTACATGAGGGGAGCATTATCTCATGTACTGTATGTGGCTATGAATTCAAACCAGTTTCTCTTCCTTCAGCTTAGAATTACACCAAATTAAGATTTATCTGAAATGTTAACTGTGTGGGAAGTTTGCTGGATTAAGTTCACACATTAAAAAACGTGAAGCATGTATTTCCCAGGGAAGCTGCTATAAGTATCGCCATATGATTTTCATTTGGAAACATTTCCTGTTGCAAACCTAAATAAATCGATGTGTTATAAGTAGGGATGAGCTTCGCGTTCGAGTCGAACCTATGTTCGACACTGCATCAATTAATTTATTTTAAAATTTTAATCCAGACCAGCTACTTAAATGGAATCCCAGACGTATTATATGTGTTTCTTTTGTGCCTAGCATACGAAAATTACAATATATGTGATTTTTCCCAAATGAAAATCACAGTTATAATTTCACTTGCTGAGCTAAGAAATTAGGAAAATAAAATAAAAAGTTTGGGCTTTCAATATACACTACTTTTAACAAAGTGGCAGCTGGAAAATCCCTAAAAGAACAGATTTGTACCAGACTTTATGTATAAATGTCCCTAAAATAGGAACTGGGAAAGTCCTTAAAGGGAATGTGAACTGTGTGTCCAAAAATAGCAAAGATCATGAGTTACTCAATTGCAAGATGGGTGTAATAGTGCAGAAATGCATTTCTGTCCTTCCATGTCTCTAAACTGGGGTTAATCTGAACTAATTTTGATGGCACTGAAACAGTCTACTGGCTCTTTGTGTTGGATGTGTCTTCCCAAACAGCTCAGAATCAGGATGACAACAAACAGCTTGGCAATGAAAGCCCACAAGGCCTGCTATCAGTTTATCAGAGAATGTGGACTAAAGGTGCCCATACACCTTACGATTATCGTACGATAATCGTATGCGATCGACTTTTCGTATGACAATCGTAACGTGTGAATGTAGTGCCCGACCGATAGTACTCTACAATCGTACGACTTTTGACGGTCAAGCATGTTTGAAAACTTTGGTCGATCGTACGATGTTCGCATGTTTGGTGGCGTTTCCGTCTGTCAAAAGTCGTACGATTAACACTGTGCATGCGCAAACGAAAATAATTGCGGTCAATTACCGCAAGTCATCCAGGTGTTTTATTTTAACTACTGTTCATTGAACCTTGCGATAATCGGGGCAGGATGGGGCCGTTGTACGAAAATCGTCCGACGGTTCGATCATCGGACGAAAAGTTTTGTCCGATAATCGTAAGGTGTATGGGCACCTTAATACGAGCGCCCACTAGGAGCTACAGCCATTGCAGCTAGGCAGGATGTTCCACACCTGCTATGCTTTTCATTTGATTTGTTCATACAGAGCTTTTCTGTTTCTTGATTATAAATACTGCTATGGACAGACGTGTTTACCAACATCTTCCGGGTTTGTGCTTCAACAACGAAAACAGATATTACACAATAACTGAAAATGTAACAATGTATAAATTTAATTTTGCGCAGCCATTTCTGTCAATTATTTTACTGTTCACTGAACAATCAGTCATTTCCCTCAACTCCATGCTCCCCCTATACAGCCCTATTGTACACAAAGCCCAGGCACACATCACAGCTCTAACACTTTGTTCGCATTTACTCTTTAAAAAACTAGTTTATACTTAAAGTGCCAAAACACACTATTGTGCAGGGTAGTAATGTGCATGTTAACCCCCGTGTTACAGCAACGTTATGCAATTATGTGTATTAGGCTATTAGCATATTGCTGTGCCACTCATTTTAAATTGAACCCCAATCAACTAAGGCAACAAGACATGTTAACTGGCCCTATGTGTGATACAAACCTTATATTGTAAACTCCTCAAGGGCAGGGACTGATATGAATGTGCACTATGTGAAGCCCTGTGTACAATTGTTGGCTCAATATAAATACCTGTGATGAATAAGCGCAATGCTTATTCATCACAGGGCCCTATACCTTTATATCAACTTTTATTAAATTCACCATGCCATCAATGTTTACCTGCACTAATTGTGTCTCTTTAGCACTGGCATGCCCTATTCACTTGAATGGGGCTGTATAACAAGAATCTCTGGTCACAATATCTGGCCAGAGATTCTTGTTATCCAGTGCTGAAGAGGGCTTCTTTAAGGCCGGTCTGTGAACACTGGAGGAGACTGTAGACATGGAACTCAGGTAAGTAGCTGGCATGAGA